GAAACTCTGGATACCTTCCACAGCACATTTTCTCTTACACCTAATGGGGCAACCATCCTGTTGCTTTCTAGTCTGCGAATCTGAACTATGCTAGATGCCCCAAGTAACTGTAATTACGCATACTCGTGGTTTTGTGCCTGGATTCTTTCAGGTAGCATAATGTCCTCCAGGGTCATCCATGTCACACAGCAAGGGTCCTAATTTCCTTTCTTGTTGAGGTCAGTAATATTCTATGCACGCATCTATCACCTTTGTTTATACGTTCATCTGTCAATGGACGTGTGGGTTGCTTCTATCTTTTGCTTACTGGTAACATCGCATAACAATATAGCTTTTCAAAGAAACCAAATTTCTTCTTTCTGGTTACTTAAAAAATAGCGCTACAGAAACTGAACACGTGTCTGCTACATACATGGCAGCAAAAATTTAGCCACACACACACCCCAAACAGGTAACACTTACACTAGGCATGCCTTTTACATAAACCAGAAAGGTCGAGTGAACTGCCTGTATATTTGTTTGTTCTGCAGATTCTTTGAACTGAATTTTCTACCACCATCGGAAACAGTAGCTTACACCTGAGACTCCTATTTTTCACTTTATCTGAAAGAGCTGCTGTAAAAACTGGGCTCGCCTTTCGGTGGGGCAATGCTTGGATGGGCAGGCTCTGTGATATCTTTGAGGCTGGAACATGGGCTCCAGTGTCCCGGTGACAGCCCTCACTTCCTGTGCCCAGGTCCCCGGCTGGGCCCTGTGAGCCTATACTCACTTGTATGGCTGAAAAGTGAAAGGCATCAAGAGAACCACTGCAAGACAGATCTGAGGTCAATACCGTCATTTGGATCCCAGGTCAAGAAGGGGGCCAAGGAACCAAAAAGCTGCGGTCTCAGCCAGGAGTAAATATGGTACTCCCTGCGTCACTTACCACGTGCCATTTTCTACCATTTTAATTAAACAAGCCTGTGAGCTGCTACATCCCAGGCTTGCTTGAAAGATTTCATTGCATTGGAGTAGACTGCTTCCTAGCTTACGTATTTTACTTCTGAGCACCACTCTGAGAGAAGTTCTGAGGGCTCTGTCAGGCTACCTCTTGAGTCAGTGACTCAAAGAAACAGCTGGAAAACCCCTACTTTCCACGACCTCTGAGAAGCGCACACCAGCTTGAACACTCATTCGTCAATTTGTTTAACCTGTGCTTGATGCCCCGGGTGTGCAGTCTTACTCACTCGTACGGGAGGCCCACTGCCGCGTGTACAGACTGGGCCTCAGGACAAGAAAACGGAACTGTGCTCTGCAGCAGCAACTGTTCCAAGTGACTTGTGCCCTAACTGTCATTTTTCCCATTTGAAAAACACCCACATTACCGTCTGCCACCCAGTGGGTTCAGAAGAAATCATTTACGTGATAGTGCTCTGTGAACCACTCCATAAATACTACATGCTATTACTGCTCTTATCACAACTACCAAAGGAAGGCAGATATACTCACTGTCATCCCATGGAACTTAAACGCTGTTGTATGCCATACCACACTACATGTTCCATGTGGTTTCTTCACGCTCCCAAGCCAGGTATCAATTTATCATCATTAATAAACGTGTTTATTATGAAAAAAGCTCTTGTGCAATTTTCTACTCTTTTCTTTCTGTCTAAAGCCTAAGTCCTCACAGTTGCTCAGTTGTGTACACTGGCCCCTCGTGTCAATGAGCTGCCTTGACTAAGACTCGG